GAAGAGGCACTGTTGAAGTCCAATGGAAGTTGAAGTGATATTGACCCTGGTTGGGATTTATTTTCTTCCAGTCAGTGACATAAAAGTTGGTAGACATAGTGGTTCTCTCTCCCTTTAAGTCTATCTCTGGTCTAGTCTCTTCCTGTTTGCTTAGAGCAGACACACTGACCCCCTGAACATCCTTCTCCAGGCTGTCTACACATGTCATACTTACACACTATAGTGTAGCCTAACACAGAAATTAACATTCTACAAGCATTTCAATTACCAGCTTCTTGAAAGAAGAAAAACTGTAAATGTTGTAAATTGCACTAAACTATGTCAGGCTGTGTAGGTTTCATTTAATGCAGATTTCTTTATTTTAAAGAAAAAAATTAAACTTCATCCAAATGGTCTCTCTAGAATGTGATTCAACCCTTACTTATAGTATAGTGTCAGAATGTGCAACTTAATGGATAAAATATGGTCTACATACACCATCTTGTGGCCAACTATGAGAACAAATATGCCAAACGTTAAAGTCTGATGCCATCAATGCCACAGTGAAACAGCCAAGAATGATTTCCTATAAGAACGTATTAGGGTTTTAAATAAATAATTGAATGCAGAGGTTAAATAATAGTGTGAAGGTGAGGGTTTATAGAGCTATCAGTGCCACATGCTCCAAATGCTCTAAATGGTATCCAAATGCAATATGTTTGCATACATTTTGTGTAGGCTATATCGTGTATTTTTCTCTCCTAACAAATGAATGGGCATATGGCCCCTCAGTTTCAATGTGCAATTGTGCATGCATGGCTCTGGCATCTGTGGAATGACCTGGAGTGGGTCTGGCGAGGGTTTAGTCTTCATATGTAAACCTGTAAAAAGGGTGTTGGCATTTGTGTAGGATACAATTGTCCAATTGCCATTACAACTGTAGGCCTATGGATTTTCATCTCCTAAAGCTCAGCCTTATTTTACCATACATACACTACCTATCAAAAGTTTTAGAACACCTACTCATTCAAGGGTTTTTCTTTATTTTTACTATTTTCTACATTGTAGAATAATAGTGAAGACATCAAAACTATGGAATAACACATATGGAATCATTTAGTAACCAAAAAAGTGTTAAACAAATCAAAATATATTTGAGATTTGAGATTCTTCAAATAGCCACCCTTTGCCTTGATGACAGCTTTGCACACTCTTGGCATTCTCTCAATCAGCTTCACCTGGAATGCTTTTCCAACAGTCTTGAAGGAATTCCCACATATGCTGAGCACTTGTTGGCTGCTTTTCCTTCACACTGCCGTCTGACTCATCCCAAACCATCTCAATCTGGTTGAGGTCGGGGGATTGTGGAGGCCAGGTCATCTGATGCAGCACTCCATCACTCTCCTTCTTGGTAAAATAGCCCTTACACAGCCTGGAGGTGTGTTGGGTCATTGTCCTGTTGAAAAACAAATGATAGTCCCACTAAGCCCAAACGAGATGGGATGGCGTATCGCTGTAGAATGCTGTGGTAGCCATGCTAGTAAAGTGTGCCTTGAATTCTAAATAAACCACAGACAGTGTCACCAGCAAAGCACCCCCCACAACATAACACCTCCTCCTCCATGCTTTACGGTGGGAAATACACATGCGGAGATCATCCGTTCACCCACACCGCGTCTCACAAAGACATGGCGGTTGGAACCAAAAATCTCACATTTGGACTCCAGACTAAAGGACAAATTTCCACCAGTCTAATGTCCATTGCTCGTGTTTCTTGGCCCAATCAGGTCTCTTCTTATTATTGGTGTCCTTTAGTAGTGGCTTCTTTGCAGCAATTCGTCCTTGAAGGCCTGATTCACACAGTCTCCTCTGAACAGTTGATGTTGAGATGTGTCTGTTACTTGAACTCTGTGAAGCATTTACTTGGGCAGCAATTTCTGAGGCTGGTAACTCTAATGAACTTATCCTCTGCAGCAGAGGTAACTCTGGGTCTTCCATTCCTGTGGCGGTCCTCATGAGAGCCAGTTTCATCATAGAGCTTGATGGTTTTTGTGACTGCACTTGAAGAAACTTTCAAAGTTCTTGACATTTTCCGGTTTGACTGACCTTCATGTCTTAAAGTAATGATGGACTGTCGTTTCTCTTTGCTTATTTGACCTGTTCTTGCCAAATATGGACTTGGTCTTTTACCAAATAGGGCTATCTTCTGTATACCCCCCTACCTTGTCACAACACAACTGATTGGCTCAAACACATTAAGAAGGAAAGAAATTCCACAGATTAACTTTTAACAAGGAACACCTGTCAATTGAAATGCATTCCAGGTGACTACCTCATGAAGCTGGTTGAGAGAATGCCAAGAGTTTGCAAAGCTGTCATCAAGGCAAAGGGTGGCTATTTGAAGAATCTCAAATCTAAAATATATTTTGATTTGTTTAACACTTTTTTGGTTACTACATGATTCCATATGTGTTATTTCATCGTTTTGATGTCTTCACTATTTTTCTACAGTGTAGAAAATTGTAAAAATAAAGAAAAACCCTTGAATGAGTAGGAGTTCTAAAACTTTTGACCGGTAGTGTATGTATGTTCTAGTATCCCATAAATCAGCTGTCAAAGACAACTGGTGAATGTGGGAGTCTACAGCAACCTTGCTGCCATTTCCCACTTCTGCAAACAGCGGTTCATAGTAGTGATGTGCAGTTCGCGAACGATTCGTTATTTTAGAACAACTATTTTTACTGACTCAAGAGTTATGATTTGTTTATCTGAGTGACTCGTTTATTTAAGTCGTTGTTTGAATTACTAGTGCTTGCAGCAATTAGCCCTACAGCAGGATTAATAAACACTTCTCCGGCTCAGCGGCTCCAGAGACCTGTTCCAACCACCAACTGTCTGTCATATGCATGCAGGAAAATAGTTAATGAGCCTAGAAAATAATAATACATGTTTAGAACTGACAATTGATCTCAAGGTTCAGGAATGATTGCAGTGCAGGAAAATAGATCATGGGCCTAGAAAAGAAAAATACATTTTTAGAACTGACAATTGATGGCATGGTGTAAGAATGAATGCAATTAATTTATACTGAACAAAAATATAAACACAACATGGAACAATTTCAAATATTTTACTGAGTTAGTTCATATAAGGAAATCAGTCAATTAAAATAAATTCATTGGACCCTAATCTATGGATTTCACATGACTGGGAATACAGATATGCATCTATTGGTAACAGATACCTTAAAAAAAGTAGGGGCGTGGATCAGAAAACCAGTCAGTATCTAGTGTGACCACCATTTATTTGCCTCATACAGCGTGACACATCTCCTTCGCATAGAGTTGATCATGCTGTTGATTGTGGCCTGTGGAATGTTGTCCCACTCCTCTTCGATGGCTGTGCGAAGTTGCTGGATATTGGCAGGAACTGGAACACGCTGTTGTACACGTCGGTCCAGAGCATCCCAAACATGCTCAATGGGTGACATGTCTGGTGAGTATGCAGGCCATGGAAGAACTGGGACATTTTCAGCTTCCAGGAAGTGTACAGATCCTTGCGACATGGGGCTGTGCCTTATCATGCTGAAACATGAGGTGATGGCGGAGGATGAATGGCACGACAATGGGCCTCAGGATCTCGTCATGGTATCTCTGTGTATTCAAATTGCCATCAATAAAATTCAATTGTGTTCGTTGTCAGTAGCTTATGCCTGCCCATACCATAACCCCACCGCCACCATGGGGCACTCTGTTCACAATGTTGACATCAGCAAACGGCTCGCCCACACAACGCCATACACGTGGTCTCCGGTTATGAGGCCAGTTGGACATACTGCCAAATTATTTAAAATTTGAGAGAAATAAGCTTTTTGTGCATTTGGAACATTTCTGGGATCTTTTATTTCAGTAAAGAACAAGAAGGCCCGCACACTGTTAAAGCTCCCAATTCACCGCTTTATTGACAACGTTTCGATTCTAAACTGATCTTCATCAGGTCAAACAAACAAACTGAGTTCTCACTTCCCAAAATATACACATTTCACCTGACATGACCATTACGCACATGACACATGGTGGGTGTGGAAACAATTACATTCCCTTTTGTGCACAATCAATCATAATTAATCACAGAGGTACATATGGTCATAAAGGAGTATACACATACAAATGGGTTCAAGTTCAAACCTAGGCAACAGTAAAAAATATTATGTTGGAAACTGTTGGAATACCAGCCCATATGACCATTATGCGCAGGAGGCGCTGTGGCCTTAGATATAATTCCAGTGACCTATTTCAAAAACAATTTGTGTATCTCTAATAATTTTATATCAATGAGATGGGCACATGTACTAGTTACAGAATCTAATATATATGTACAAAATGACCAAGTAGGAGACCTGGAAGGCAAGACAAATCAAAGTGACAAGTAAGAAATGGTCTGATATCAAACTCCTGGTTCAGACCTTTAGGAGACATGGTGCACAAACAGTGACTCCAATACAATTATCTTCTCAATAATAGATTATCAATCAGTATCCCCCCCCCCCCCCCCCCCGTGATAGGGTGATTGAACCTTGTGCATTTTGTTCGTAAAGTTACACTGGGTACATCTCCCACATCTGTAATTACCGTCCGGCACAGTCTAGGAAGGTGCTACGTGGCACCGGTGGAAGATAAGACCTCACCACCATTTGACTGATATTGGGGGCGCGTCTGAAGACTACCCACAGGGGTTCTTTTAACGTATTTTCCAGTTGTGGATCAGTGCTCAAGATGTGCCAGTGTTTTTTAATGATATGGTCGAACTGTTTACCAAGTGGGGAGTATTGAAGGAAGCATTGAACGCGTTGGTCAGGAGGGCGGGGTGATTTGGGCGTGAGGCTGTCATCCTGGGTCATATTTTTTATAACTATCCCTTGCTTCATGCAGCCACTCTGGGTAACCCCGCTGTCTGAAACGCACATTCAGACAGTCGGATTGTTTATCATAGTCACTCTGTTTACTACAAATCCTGCGTATTCAACTGTATTGGCTGATGGGGAGGCTCTTTTTTAGGAGTGTAGGGTGGAAGCTGTCTCCGCGTAACAGGAAATTAATGTCCGTCGGCTTCCTGTATAGGTCTGTGCTAAAGCCACCCCCCTCCCTCTTTATCAATGTCCAGAAAACTTGTTTCATGTTCATCAAAGGTGAGGGTGAATTTCAAATGTTCACTTCTTGTATTGATGAAGGAGTGGAATCGATGAAGTTCCTTTGCTGTGCCCTGGCATAGAAGGTATACGTCATCAATGAAGCGTTTCCAGTATTTGATATGGCGCAAGAATGAATTGTTAGGGCTGAATATCACATTCTTCTCAAACAACCCAACATACAGATTGGCATAATTCGGTGCCATTTTTCTACCCATAGCAGTTCCCTTCTGTTGAATGAACATATCATTTTCAAACATGAAAATGTTTAGTCAGAACAATCTCGTCAAGTTCAACAATACAGTTAGTGATAGGGAGTGTACCAGTGGGTCGTTTATTTTAGCTCATGAAACATGGGACCAAACTTTACGTTCCGTTTTAATATTTTAATCCAGTGTATTATTGAATGTTATGATGGACACGGCTTTGTAGAACCAAAACATACACAGCCTCAGGTCAACAAACTCGAACTTGATAATTAATCATTTGGGGGGCTGCAGTTCGCGAACGATATTGTGATTACCACCGCAGTCAAGGAATGCATTCCGCCAAGAGTCGTTCACAATCCAGTACGGTTGCGGCTACAACTAGTCTAGACCTCGTTTAAAATGTATCAAGAAATAATCGTATTTGTTTGTATGCCTAGCAATACACAGATGTACATTGTTTAAAGCACACGTTAACAAGTCTCAGTCACAAATGACAGCTCCAATTAGCCCAGTATGGTGAACGAGAGGCTTGTACAATCATGACTCGAATTTCGAGTTTTCAGTTCATCGTTCGCCGGTAGGGGGTCATGTGTGCTCTGGGCATGACTGACTCAAATGAACGAAATGAGTCGAAAGATTTGTTATTTTGACTGAACGAGTCAAAAAGATCTGAGTCAACAAAAAGAGGCGAACTTCCCATCACTAGTTCATTGGTTAATTGTGTGGGGGACGGGGTTATTGCAAAGGCCATGGCGAAAATATTGCCTACTAAATTGTTAATTTCATTACAGTGTGTGTGCGTGTGTTTCTTACATATATTTTAATGCAATGTGAACGTGAGGATGATGATGTGAGGATGATGATGATGAAGAAAATATAGCTGTCATGACAGTGATTTTTGTGCTGAGTCATCATCAATTTCTGTGATGTGGGTTGAGATCACCATAATGTCAAAGGCAGGGTGCAATGACATGAATATTCATGAGTATTCATGAGTATTCTTGAGTGTGTGATGTCACACAGATTCTCTACAGAGCCATCTGTTTAGCTAGCTCGTGCCGCCGGCATGAGCAGTTAGCACTGACCCAAAGACTTGGGAAACCCAGCTTCAGCTTGATCACCAAATTAATTGGAAATAAATGAAAGCCTCACCAGCTAGCTACCAATCTATTTTAGTTTCACTGTCTGATCATTCACAAAACAAGCCCACTAATTGTTATTTTTACCTTTCCACAAATGATCTGGTATGTGTTGCTTGATATGAGCAAGTTAACCCAAATATATCAAAGAATAGGTCACGCGTCCACGATTAGTTAGTGGCTACTGCCTGGCCAGTGATCTAGCTAGCTACATTTCAGTAATTAGCTATCCTCCTAAATGCGGTGGTCAGTGGATAAACTAACAATGAGTTGAAATATTTGTCTGAAAATGAACTAGTTGCCAATTATTGTTGCCCATGGTATAATCATGTGCCTATGAACTCCCAAATCTAGATAGCTGTGTCTTGGCGTCCACGATTACCTAGCTAGCTAGTTTGATGACTGGTTGCAAATCCCACAACCAGTCATCGAAACTCAACTCCGCCTCGATATAACCCTTAGGAAAAACATTGTAGTGAGAGTGCAGTATAACTGCAGTACACTGTAGTATAACTGTAGATAGAGTGCAGTATAACTGCCGTATGCTGCAAATACTGTGTCCAAAATAACAGTTTATTTTACTGCAGTAATTTTGCAGTGTAACTGCAGTTATTCTGCAATTACTGCGTCCAAAATACCATAGTCGACTGCAGTTACTGCACCTTTAGTGCAGTTTCAAAACTGCAATCTTTTTTTGTAAGGGAAGAGAACAGAGTTGAGGGTTCCTCAGCTATTGCATTACCAGTGTGAGCCAGCATGCTAGCTAGCCAGCTGGCTAGCTACATTTCAGTCAGAACTGCCAACTCTCACGCATTGGCTGTTAGACACACGCATTTGACCCTCTTCTCACGCTCACACACCACACCTCTTATATCTCACACATTGAAAAATACTGCTTTTATTTTTCTAATGAATAATTTCCAGTGTATATTTAATGCGTTAACTTTTCAATCGTATTGAAAAAAGAGCATCTGCACCTGCAACTTAACATCACGAGCGGAACCTCTATCATTGTCCCGTCTTGCCACACACAGCACACATTGAAGCATATGATTGGTCTAGTTATGTAAGGGATCAAGGGGATTGGATGCGTGTTTTAAAGAAACACTCCTCAAGATTAGAGTGGAGCTGAATGGAGAGAGAGAACATTCTCTGCTGAGTTTATAAAACTAAAAAATAGCAGTTTTATGTACAATGTTGTCAACAAAATTAGGTTGCTGTTACTCCCGTCCCTATTGCAGAATGCAGCCTTTTGACAGCATGTACTGAAGTCGATTTAATCCACACTTGCATTAGTCCCCTGGTTTGGTGACCGGCATTTAGGCTATGTCAACGAAAATGCAGCAGATAGACCTACAGAGTATGTTTTAGCAGGGAGGTTTGGTAGGGTGACCTGATTTGTAACTATGAAAATCATTTTGTCAAACAGATTTTGAACCCAAAAGTGTAAGTTTCATTCTATAGGGGGGACAGTAAATAGAAAAATAATTTGGTTAGGTTGTAGGGGCAGATTTATGTAATTTTGTCTTCAGGAGTTCCCAGTTGTTTTGAACGCGGCAACCGTCTGCATAAACTCCCGAGTCCAGCCAACATTAGCTAGCTAGTGTCGCGAATTAGCATTTCTCTAGCTAGCGGAGCTGTTTTATAAGAAAACATCTGATATGAATCAAACACTGTAGCTAGTTAGCAAGCCCTCCTTGGCGACAATGTTATTGAGCGTGGCAATGTCAGATTCATATTAAAATGTTAACTAGGGTGAACATATTTTAGTTTTCAAAAAAGAGGACAGGGAGCGGGAGGCAGACGGACACCCGCAGTGGGTGGTAAATACAAATGCGTTCACAACCATGCAACTATGTTATTGAACTTTAATACATAAAGTAATACAGTGGGGGAAAAAAGTATTTAGTCAGCCACCAATTGTGCAAGTTCTCCCACTTAAAAAGATGAGAGAGGCCTGTAATTTTCATCATAGTCAACTATGACAGACAAAATGAGATTTTTTTTCTCCAGAAAATCACATTGTAGGATTTTTAATTTATTTATTTGCAAATTATGGTGGAAAATAAGTATTTGGTCAATAACAAAAGTTTCTCAATACTTTGTTATATACCCTTTGTTGGCAATGACACAGGTCAAACATTTTCTGTAAGTCTTCACAAGGTTTTCACACACTGTTGCTGGTATTTTGGCCCATTCCTCCATGCAGATCTCCTCTAGAGCAGTGATGTTTTGGGGCTGTCGCTGGGCAACACGGACTTTCAACTCCCTCCAAAGATTTTCTATGGGGTTGAGATCTGGAGACTGGCTAGGCCACTCCAGGACCTTGAAATGCTTCTTACGAAGCCACTACTTCGTTGCCCGGGCGGTGTGTTTGGGATCATTGTCATGCTGAAAGACCCAGCCACGTTTCATCTTCAATGCCCTTGCTGATGGAAGGAGGTTTTCACTCAAAATCTCACGATACATGGCCCCATTCATTCTTTCCTTTACACGGATCAGTCGTCCTGGTCCCTTTGCAGAAAAACAGCCCCAAAGCATGATGTTTCCACCCCCATGCTTCACAGTAGGTATGGTGTTCTTTGGATGCAACTCAGCATTCTTTGTCCTCCAAACACGACGAGTTGAGTTTTTACCAAAAAGTTATATTTTGGTTTCATCTGACCATATGACATTCTCCCAATCCTCTTCTGGATCATCCAAATGCACTCTAGCAAACTTCAGACGGGCCTGGACATGTACTGGCTTAAGCAGGGGGACACGTCTTGCACTGCAGGATTTGAGTCCCTGGCGGCTTAGTGTGTTACTGATGGTAGGCTTTGTTACTTTGGTCCCTGCTCTCTGCAGGTCATTCACTAGGTCCCCCCGTGTGGTTCTGGGATTTTTGCTCACCGTTCTTGTGATCATTTTGACCCCACGGGGTGAGATCTTGCGTGGAGCCCCAGATCGAGGGAGATTATCAGTGGTCTTGTATGTCTTCCATTTCCTAATAATTGCTCCCACAGTTGATTTCTTCAAACCAAGCTGCTTACCTATTGCAGATTCAGTCTTCCCAGCCTGGTGCAGGTCTACAATTTTGTTTCTGGTGTCCTTTGACAGCTCTTTGGTCTTGGCCATAGTGGAGTTTGGAGTGTGACTGTTTGAGGTTGTGGACAGGTGTCTTTTATACTGATAACAAGTTCAAACAGGTGCCATTAATACAGGTAACGAGTGGAGGACAGAGGAGCCTCTTAAAGAAGAAGTTACAGATCTGTGAGAGCTAGAAATCTCGCTTGTTTGTAGGTGACCAAATACTTATTTTCCACCATATTTTGCAAATAAATTCATAAAAAATCCTACAATGTGATTTTCTGGAGAAAAACAATCTCAATTTGTCTGTCATAGTTGACGTGTACCTATGATGAAAATTACAGGCCTCTCTCATCTTTTTAAGTGGGAGAACTTGCACAATTGGTGGCTGACTAAATACTTTTTTTCCCCACTGTACATCCTTTCCATTCAACTGTTGGCCCTCAACAATAGAATAATAACAAAACAAAAAACAAAAAAAAGTTTAGCTTTTAACACCTTTTACATGACACTCTTTTCATGGCCATAGGTAAAAAAACAAAACATAAAAAAACAGTTAAAATCCACTATGTCAGTCAAAAATAATGTCAGTCCTCCTGATGCTCTCTGGTATACTTTCCCGAAGATCGAATCTTTCCAAACAGTCCTTGATTACCAATCAATTAGGCATGAAAGTCTTTGCAAGACATGTTTTTAAAGTTGTATTGTGTACACAGAAGCCCCTTCAGTGACTCAACAGACAAGTGATTCCTTTCCTTTGTCCACTGGCTTTGCATCAGTGAAGAAACTCTCTACATTTGCATTGTGAGAAGGAATAGCAAAGAAAAACGGTGCAATCTTCAG